TCTCGCCTTTTCTTCGTGTTTTTTTTTTTTTTTTTTTTTTTTTTTCTTCTTCCTCACTTATTTCTTCCTGTTGCCAAAAGAAAGGGTGTAATCCTTCTGATGCTGACACGCCACCAGAGAGAGGCCTTCTGTCAGCTCGGCCACAAGACGCGAAATTCCTAAAAACGATAACGCGTAGGACACGTGGACGGTTCATGCCGGCTCTGTTTCTGAAAGTGGGAGAAAGTTTGAAAGGCGAATTATTTTAAATTTCCTCTCTCTGTCTGTCATAAAGCTTTTTAAAGGGATCTAAATGTTGACGAGAAAGGGGGAGAATACTTTGTAAAACTTGTATAATTATTTTTGTGTCTCTTCAATGGATCTCTAGAAAGAATTTTTACTTAACTGATGTTTTTAGATTTTTATTTATGGTGTCTGTGTACAGAAATGTTGTACAGGGGGGTGCACAGTCTTGTCTGCTTAAATAAATACACAATTGAAGACTGAAAATGTTTGCGTGTTCTCTTAACTGATAAATGTTGAATGGTAAAATGGTAAATGGCCTGCATTTGTATAGCGCTTTTCTAGTCCATAGGACCCCAAAGCGCTTTACACTACATTCAGTCATTCACCCATTCACACACACATTCACACACTGGCGTGAATGTTTGATAAAAGAAGTATGAATAATGAATAGTATGAATAAAAATCCCAGTATAGTAAAAGTGTTAGCAGCCAAATATTCTTAAAATACCTCTGCAGTAAAAAGGTTTCTTTCTAATAAGGTTTAAATATTGATAATGTGTCTTGCAGTTAAGGATTACCATCTAATGCTTAAAGTGTTATAGGGAAATGTATTATTCATGATATGAAACCGCATCCCAAAGATGCTCTGTTGGATTGAGATCTGGTGAATCCGTGAACTCGCGGTCATGTTCAAGAGACCAGTATGAGACGATTTGAGATTTTTATCCTCTGAAGCGTACACTGTGCTCGTGAAGGGATTGGACACTGTCGGCAACGATACTTGGATAGGGAGTGGCGTGTAAGCGATGCTCAGTGGGTTTTCCTGGGGTCAAAGTGCACTGAGATCATTAGACTACCAGCAGCCTGAATCACTGATACAAGCGGGATGATTCCATGCTTTTGTGTTTTTGATGCCTAAATCTGACCTGTCCATCCAAATACTGCAGCAGAAATTGGGATTCATCAGACCAGGTAATGCAGGGGTGGGCAATTCCAGGCCCTGAGGGCCGGTGTCCTGCAGGTTTTAGATCTCACCTTGGGTCAACACACCTGAATCACATGATTAGTTCGTTACCAGGCCTCTGGAGAACTGCAGGAGCTAATTTAGCCATTTAAATCAGCTGTGTTGGTTCAAGGACACATCTAAAACCTGCAGGGACACCGGCCCTCTGGGCCTGGAATTGCCCACCCCTGAGGTAATGTATTTCCAGTCTCCTGTTGTCCCGCTGCTGTATAAAATCTGCCTCAGGGTTCAGCAATTTTCATTCAGACATGTTCTTCTACAACTTTGGTCATCTCAAAACATCTGTTCTCCTTTGACCTCTGTTTTTGACAAGCCATTTACACTCAGAGAAACTCCCTTGACTGGATGTTTTAAATCTTTGTGCAGGAAAATCCCAGCGGATCAGCAGTTTCTGAAACACGATTAACGTCCCTTAAATCACCTTTCTTCCCTGTTGGTGCACAGTTTCAAGTATCAGGTCCAAGTATCTTGATTATGTGTGTGCAGCGCTTAATTTCAGGAGAGCGTGTATAAATCTAACATGACATTTCAGTTGCTCTGTTCTGTCATGTATGTTTCTTCCTGGCCTCAAATGTGTGCTTCTTCACTTAAAAACTTTCCAGTATCTCTGCCACTGTTGTGCAGGTAATATACAAAGTGGTGATGAATAAAATGGCAATTTGGTATTTGATTAGGAGCTAAAACCTTATTTATCTCCCAGTTTCCCAAAGGCAAAACCACATGTTGATGATATATTTTTAAAAAAAATGTCAGTTAGTTCCCCCTAGTGGGCACAAATTAATAATGCAGCACAAATGTCAGCACTTTTAAGTAGAACTGAATGATTTACTTGAAGCTCCGAGTGTACGCTGTCATGTTTGTTTACACCAGACTGTGTTTACAAGAAGTCGGTATGGTAACAACAGGCACAAGTTTCTTTTATGTGGCTCCACGTGATCTTTCAGAGGAGGACGCACATCTGCAGCGTGTCTTTGTTGGGCACACGGAGCTCACTTTCTCCTCTTTCCATGTTATGATGGATGCTGGCAGCCTCAGTTAGCCACCAGTGACAGCTCTTTAGTGTTCCTCTACACAGGAGTGCAGACTGTTAGCATTAAGGCGAAAGTGTTTTAGAGCTTAGCTGCCTACACACAATGACTAATGACCTGATTTCCCTGCATTTGTTTTTTGGCGTGCTGGGGTTTTTTAGTTTTGTTTTCAATGTATTTGTCATAAAGAAAGAGATAAAGTGGATGTGGTTTTTTGCTTCTCTTTCATCCTATGTACTTTTTCTTTGTTGATGTGACCTGTTGATGTGACCTCTCACCATTTCACTTGGCTCTTTCTGCGCCCATGATTTCATTCCAGGACAAAGACAGTTGACTGATTTTCTAGTGCAAACATGAGTCTTTATTACAAACAGCCATCAGCATATTTTGGTCGGTGCTCTATTAATTTCATATGTTTCTCCTGATGAAAAAGAAATAACGAAACCCACACAAACCATCGGGGAGTTTTCCATAAACACTGTTGGAGCTGAGGGAGGATCCTGTCCATCACAAGAACCATCTGATGGCTCTTTGGCATTGTCAGAGACATCTGGAGGAAGGTGGAAGGGGAAAGGTGGAGGTGAGCCCCATGAGAGATGACATTCATCTAGCGAAAGAGTGTCTCAGCTAGGCGGAAGCCACAAGGGGAGGTTGGACAGAATGGAAAGGCTCGATCTATCATTGCACTTCAGTAACAACAACTCAATCAAACATTGTTTCTCTTTTCTTGTCAGCCCCGTGACACACAACTCTTTCAGTCAATAAATAATCTTCCAGGAGCTCTGGGGATCCCTCCGTGCTGTGGGCCCACCACATCTTCATCATCAGCGGCTCTGAGAGAGAGTCGCATGTGAAGCTCTTCATGCCACCATAACGCAGCAAACATTCATCGGTGTCAAATATGTGCTCACTCAGCAGAGTCAAGTCTGCTGGAGGCTCTCTCCGTGTTGCGCGGAGTGAATGTGACAGTAGCGGGCAGCTGAGTGATGATGCTGGCGTTGCACATCAGCTGGGTGAACACGCTGCTGTCCTTCACAATGCTGGTAGTAAATAGGGTGGTTTGCGTTAAAGGAGGGGAGCTGCTGCGGCTGCTGCTGCCTCGCCTGGATAAACCGAGGAACCGGCGGAACAGGGACTTCCTGAGGAGGATGTAGATCCAGGGGTCAAGGATGGGGTTAACTGAGGCTATCCTGATGGCAGCCAGGTCTGCTTTGAAGTTTTTTTCATCACTGAAGCAGTTTTCAAACACACGAACCTTAAAACAGAAGAAAGGAGCTGTTATAATATATTTCTTTAGACTGTTAACAGCTCATAAGCAGAAAGATTTCCTGTTTTGTCATCTTAAAAAAGAAAAGTTTGTCAAATCAAATCAAATTCCTGGATTCCTGGATTGAATGAGCAAACTCAACATTAAGGCGCTGTCCTCATGTAGACTACACCTCTGGTTACAAATATTTTGCAAGCTGTTGCATTATTAATTTCTGCTATTTGGGTTTAGCTGGACATTGTAAGTATAAAAAATAAACGTTAGCTTTGAGCAGAAAATGACTAATAAAGTCTGTTCTGGAGACAGGGACTTTATTTTCTAACACAATAAAATCCACATTGTTTAACACAGTGTAAACACTTCATGGCTTTTCTGAAAAGCCAAAATATAAAGTCCCTGTATGAGGTGAAGAGAAATGATCAAATTTTATCCAATTAAAGGCAGATTACACCCTGCACCAGTAACCAGCCTGTTGCAGACAACCATTCACAATCACACCTATAGGCAGTTTAGAATGAACCTAACCTCCTGTCTTTGGACTGTGGGAGGAAGCCTTAATACCACAGTACACAGGCAAAATAAGCAAACTCCACACAGAAAGGCTTCAAACTCGGGAATTTATTGGTGTGAGGGAACAGTGCTAACCACTGTGACCAGGTAATGACTGGACTTTAGAAAACAATATAGATTATATTCATCAAATATACAAGAATATTTAATGAACTGGCATGCAAGTAAAATGCCTAAAATGTGAAGGTAGCCCTACTAAACTGTCACCAGAAGTTTTCAGTTGTAGTCATTTTAATGATACATATTGTTGTGTGTGTGTGGGATATATATTTATCCAATTATATTAGGTTGAACTTCTGGAGTATCTGATGCTGAACGTACTGAACATATTTGCTGGAATCAAGCAAACTGAGCAAATCAAGTACTACGTTCGTCCACTTTTAGGTCCTTTTACAGATTTAAGTAGTTCCTCGTTATTTCACAGGCAGTTGTTGCCTGTGAAATTCAGGCTAACTGCGTGCATCGCTTTAGAGGAAAAATACCAGGATAAACTGGAAAGTGGGTAAAATTATTTTTGGCCAGTTTTAATTAAAGCTAACGACGTTAAAATGCATGTTTCGCACTGCTGTGTCGATACTAATCAGTACAATACTGGTAATTCCTCGTGTTTATAAGTGCCAGGCAGTGTTACAACAAAGTTTCTCTGCGCACCACTCGTTAATTAAAGACTTCTCTTACCACTAGTGGGGCTGAGCAGGCCAGGACCACCACAGAAGTCATCACCAGCACCGCGATCATTTGAGTCTCTGCGGCCGAGGACAGAGCTCTCCACCTTTCGCGGACGCTGCCTCTGGTGACGGGCAGCTGCACGACCCTCTGGCGCATCAGCAGCAGCGCGCCGCACACCGCCAGGTTCAGCAGGATGGTGCCGAGGATCAGCAGCAGGCTAACGACGCTGTACAGGACGAAGTAGGTGGTGGACACGGGGTCGTGTTTCCTCCAGTCGATGAAGCACCAGGTTTCGGACGGCTGCAGTGTGCTATTCGCCATGCCCATCATTGGGAGGCAGCAAAAGAAGATGTGACTGATGTAGATGCAGAGCAGAAGCTTCTGCGCGAAGCGTCGATCCACTCCCCACCGCTGGTAGGTGTACGGGCAGCATATGGCCAGGTATCGCTCTGCTGCCATGGTGCATATGATGCTGAGTCCGGTCAAACCGAAAAACAGCAACAAAAAGGACTGAAACTCGCAGACATGTTGGTCCAACAGCACATTGGGGTTAAGGTAGTTGGCTATAGTTATCGGACTGGCCAGGCAGGTGCCCAGCAGGTCCGTCACCGCCAGCCCACACAGCAGCGTGTAGAAAGCGGAAGATTTGCGCTGCTGTCTTGATACCGAAAGAACGATTATTGCAATTAAATTCCCAACGGCGCCTCCAGCAAACATAAAAAGCGGCAAATTGATTGATTTCTCGACACGGTCTGTTTGTGAATTCTGAGTCGTGGTCTCGTTTATTGAATAAGGTCCGTGCGTAGAGTTTGAGCTTTCCATTTCTATCCACGAGATAGCCTTAGTTACAGACGCTACCTGTGGTGTGTTGTGGGTTTGGAAGCGCAGTTCCTCTTCAGCCTACTGTAAGAGAAGATAATGACTCAGCAGGGGCATGTTCTCTGGTAGTCTCATCCCCTCTGCTTTCCAGTAATCCAGAAGTTACCGAGAGGTCGTGGCGCAAAGTTGTGGGCAAAGTGGTGGGTTGTCTCTAATATACTGAAGCATTCAGCAGTCTGACAGAAGTGATGGATAGGATTTCCGTTCCCTTTCTCATTTGTCAGTGAGCCGTCAGTGATGTCTGTCAGGAAGTGAACTGAACAAGGGGGTAAAGAGGCGACAGTGTCACAGATGAGACTTCAGCGGAATTTTCTGTGTTAGATATGAGTCACATTTGGTTACAAACAAAGATCTAAACGTTTGAGGCAACTGCTAGATTAAGTGATGTGCGTTCGATGCGCGCAAAAACAAACAGTAAAGTTAAATATGATAACTGTGCCTATAGCCGCTTCCAATAACACTGTTGAAAAGTTTTCAGTTTGAAGAATAAAATAAAATTTAAATGCCAATTACACGTTTAAAGTGTGCCCACCCAAACACTGTACGTTTGTTTTTATGAATGTGAGGTTAATTGATAATGGATGGATGGATGATGGATATTTAAATGAAAGAAATGCAACATATGTTTATGAGCATGGTACTCCAAACCTTTTGTCTTTAATAATCCACACATATTACTGTAAACCTTTTGCTAAAGTAACTTAATACTAAAAATCGTTTATAGTGGGGGTGTCAAATATGAGGCCTGGTGGCCAGAATTGGCCCAGCAAGGACTCCAATTTGGCCCCATGGATGGCTTTAAAAATAGTGAATGATGGGCTTAAGTTTTGAACTTTTGTCAGTATTTTCATACGTTTGACAGCTTTTAATAAATATCTCTCCCACTGACAATCATAATACACTAAAGTAATAAAGTAACGAATCAATAATTAAATGACAGAAACGTTTCTGTTATTTCTTTACTTTACCTTTTTATTTACTATAGAAATTTCTGTTTTGTCTTTCTTTTACAGAACTTTTTTTGTTCCACTTATCCTTATCAGGGTCACAGGTTGGCTGGAGCCTATCAGGACTTTTACAGGGCAAGAAGTGGCGTACACCCGGGACAGATCAACACAGAGACACTCACATTCCCTCCTATGGGCAATTTTTATCATATTCACTTAACCTAACCCCACTAACTGCATGTCTTTGGACTGTCGGAGGAAACCAGACTACCCACTCAAACATGGTGGAGAGCCATTGAGCCAGATGGTGGAGTCGAACACAGGACCTTGTGCCGTGAGGCCATAGTGCTGCCCTTTTCTGTTATTCTGTAGTAAATGAAAGAAATGGTGGCAGCGTGAAAAAATAAATATGTTCTCTGTAATTTTACACATTTATTTCTTCATGCTGTATAAGTCATTTAGAAAAAGATTTACTGTTGAAAATGCACTTTTTGTTTCTTATATAAAAAATATCTCAGGGATCGTAAATGCGTAGTTAACTGTCTTTAGAGTGACAGGAAGGGGAGTTTCACAGGTCTGGCTCACTTAACATCAAAGTGCGTCGTATGTGGCCAACCACATAAAACATTTGTACTCTGTACAAATGCATTGCCATTTTGTTGGTTCATATTCAATAATGATTAAAGTCCCATACATTTTGGACACCAACTACTATCAGCCACAGAAAGCTATTAATATAAGAGCACGTTGACTGCAATTGTTTTCCATGAAATGTCATCATCTTTCTCTGAGGAGTATTTCTTAACTAGAAATGGGTGGCTTGGATTTCCACATGTGGTCTAATTCATTCCAGAAATTGCAGATGTAATAAACAACATCAGAACTTACAAATCCCAAGCAAATTAACTACAGATCTGTACTACTTCCTATTTTTCTTTTTTGTTTTTTAACTCAAACTAATTAATAACGTTTCTGTTTGTGTGTGATGCTCTTTCTTTGCTCAGCAGTGGAAGAAATTATATGAGCGGGAACATTACATCAAGTGGAAAAGCTTTTGTCTATCATTTGTTCCATAGGGTTTCTGAGGGTGCTGTTTTCCCAGTGATGAACCTCTGGGTGCAGCACGCACCTCTGTCCCAAACAGAAGTTATTGTAAATGGTAGTGAGGAAGAGCAGAGCCCCGACAGACAGCAAGAACACCCGGGACGTCATTGCACTTAGCCTGCTCCGACTCTCCAGCCGTCACACATTCATTACAGTGTGACTTATGTTTACAGTGAGGAGCAGCGGAGAGGGGGTCTCTGTCAGCAGGCGACCTTAAAAGACAAAACAAAACACCTCTCTGAGAGGTAAACTGCTGCTGCTCATGCCTGCTCATGCAGACAGAAAGGAGCTGGCAGACTGGAAAAACAAAGACACTTAAGAGATGCCAAAGCCTGGAAACTCCAAGAGCAGATGCAATGTTGCTCAGTCTACAGTGAATCACGGGATATTTAAGACGTCAGTGGTTTATAGACTTCTCGAATGCTGTAAAGTTAATGCATTTATTGTAAATGCACTTAAAATGTATTATCTCTGTCTGTGGTCTCAGCTGTGGTCTGGCACTATAAAAGTGTCTGTGACTTCACCGTGTAAGGAAACAGCACAAAAAAATCCAGCCTTGTGCAAAAGTCTTGAGCCACCACACATTTGTTCATATTTTGCTTCCAACTTTCTTGTATTTAAGAAAAAATAAGACTTTCTGAAGGGTCTTCAAGCTTTTTCTTTGGACATTGGCTGCTTTTTCACTCATTTTCAGTCCAGTCGGTAAGCATGACCATTTCAGAGGAATCACTGTGTTTTTTTAAGCCACTTAATACTGACCTATGAATCATTCCAGCATAAAAAGTCACCTACACTACACACAACACTGGCATGAGGCAGTGTTGTGTCTACAATAACAGACAACTTAACAAAGAACTAGTTGAAATTATATCTTTAGGCACTTTGTTATTAGTAGTCCGTCACGTATGCCTGTTTCTTTTGTTGAATCTACAAAAACAAAGATAAGGGTGACAGGAATGAAAATGGTACTTTTATTTCTACAGTGTTGTTCAGGAATATTTCAGCAAGCTTTGGAGTGTGTCCATAAAGGAATGCCCAAAAGTGAGAACAGATGAACAGTATCTTAGAGTTATCTTCTGTTCACCGAAGCTTCATCAGATTTGACTTCATCAGGTATGCCAGATTAAAAACACACCCCAAACGCAATAAAACAGAACAAAAGGCAGCCAACATCCAAAGAACAGCTTTGAAAGTAAAGAACTATTCCTGAAGACTACATCACAAGAAACTGCGAGAAAGCTTGTCTGAGAGAGTTCAGGCTGTGCTGAAGAATAGAGGTGGTGCTGTAATTTCATGTATGTTTGCACGTTTCATTAAATCGCTGCATTGATTCTTGCTAGCAAAATATAAAGAAATGAGGGTTGGTTCAAGACTTGCACTGTACATAAAAGTCATTATGAAGACATTTTCATGAGATTTTTAGCAGTTTATCAAACACTGAACTTGTGTGGTGGTCATTTGTTGCCATGTTGGTGACGTCTGCACATCTACAGCAATACAGGTGTTGATGCACCGAGGACAAACTTAAAGAATCCCAGTCACCTTCTAAGATTACCTATGACCGATGACCTACGCAGACACACAGGACAGGTGTTTTCTTTTTTAATAAATACTCCCTTGAATATCCAAAATAATCAGATTTTAGTATGAACATGTCTCCAAAGTCTGTATTAAAGTCTTGAAATTTTATTCAGTCCACTCAACGGACTAAAGAATAATCCAGAATTAGGCGTCTTTGAGTTCTTTGGATCTTCCTGTTACCGGAATCTGTGTGTTGGATTCAAAACTAACTTCTAACTAACTTTTTTTTTTTTACATAAGAAAGGTTTTATCCCAAGGTTTTCTTTATTTAAAAAAATGTTGTTGTTTTTTCTTTTTTTCTCACTTTAGGAGCAGACAGGAAGTGTGCATCTAGCTTCAAATTGTTGTTGTCTTATATCTGTTTAGTCTGACCCTTTCTAAATCTGGACCCTCCTCACTCCTACTCCTTTGTGGAGTTTAACAGGCATGAGAACACAGCACTCACCCCACTGTGCCACAGTTATAAATATGTAGATTTAAGGCAAAAGTTACAGCTGATTATTTGAGATGCCAGCGAGTCTAAACACGACCCATGGGACATTGTGGCTGGTAAACTCACTAACAGCAACAAATGAATTCCAAGTGATAGTTTCATCAAGCCCCACAAAGTATTTGGTGTAAAAGGCGTTTGGGGATTTTATAGGGGAGGGAAACTGAGGAGAATTGGACTCTGCTGTTTCCTGGAAGTGAGTCAAGATTATCTCCTGGGTCCCCGAAAGCACAAAGGAATTCAGAGTTAAGGTCAAGCCTTGCATAAGCATGAGCATAACATAAGCATTAGATTAAGTTAGCCACGGTAACAAAAAATAAAAAAATAAAATAAATATCAGGGAATCAAGGAAAACAAAATCACAGCCCCCACGGACATATGAAGTTAGCTGAAGTATTGTGTTCTAAATAAACGATGGAAGAATAACAGGAAAGCAAAGGCATTCATACTCCTAATATGAGCTCATGCAGTGGTGATGTTTAAGCGACCGCCGAGGTATGGCTGTCAGTCTCTACAGGATGTAGGATAAAAAGGAGAGCATTTATTAATATAATATAAAATTCTGTGACTGTAACTGGGGGAAAGCTGCCCATAACGTGGACAGAGTGGTTATCCAGATAGTTACAGTTAGTTTTTTCATTTTCATCTTCGTACACCGCTGCAGTGCATTTTCAGTGAATTAAAAAAAAATAATACAGATGTGACTGAAGTGCAGACTTTCAGCTTTAATTAGAGGGTTTAATAAAAGCATTGCAATAACTTTTTAGGAACATTACATCCAGTTTTTATACATGCTTTCCTGTTTTCAGAGGCTCAGTAAGTAAATTCGACTCTTGACCGGCTACATGAAACATGTTCCTTTGTTATTGCCTGACAAGTTAAGGAGTAAAAAGGAGGGTCTGGCATTGTGTTGAACCTGAATTTGATAGCATTTTACTGAAATTGCCCAAAATAAGGTCCACAGAGATTTTGAAGGATGGTGATAATATTAGGCTGGAAAAACAAAATAAACGTGTCAGAGAAACAGAAAACACTTTAGGAGAGCCTCAGCAATCTGAGATGAGTGCACAATGGTGGAACATCCCCGAGCAGATTCGTCCGATCAGACAGCGCTTCACACCGTAAACTGATATTGACCCCAAGAGTACTGATAAGAGTTTCTCAGGGCAAAGAAATAGTCAGTCACCTGATCTGAATCCAATGGAGCAGATTTTCAGTTATTAAATACAAAGCTGGAGGCAGAGAGACCCACAAA